GCGCGCGGTACGTTATAACGTGATAAAGTGCACCCGTACCGAGCGAAAATTCAAAGTCGATTTTCTCAAAAACAAAGCCTCGAACGAAAAATTTGTATTCTACATTTTCGATTTCTTTTTTCGCGTAGAATCACCCCCTTTCCGGTTGTACCACCAGTTACCAACCACCCTGCGTATAAAAAATATGTTTTCGAAGAAGCACGGTAAACGTCGTTGGTACCTGTTCGTTTGCGAGAAGAGGAAGAAAGACGAACCGGCTGGAATCGGTTCTGTCTTCGTAGCCATGTTGAATTCGGACATTCTTCGTGGTCTAGCCGATACCTCGTGATCCGCACCGTCATCTAGATAAATTAAACAGCAGGTAATTGTCATCGACGACGAACAAAGTACAAAGAGTGAATTTCCGAGACGTTTGACAAACGAAAGAAGAAAGCGTAGATACCGTGCATCTCGTTGTGTTCGACTTCCTCCTCTTCCTCCACTTCCTCGTCGGATTCTATGTTCAGTCGCACCTTGGCGTGATTGTTCGTATCGTCGCTTTTTTCCGACCTGAGGACACGTTAATCGAATGAATCTTAAATCGTATTTATCTATCGATTCGCATATTATACAGGAAGATCGCTTACGTTTCCGTGTCCACGGCTGCCTCGTAATCCTCCATCGTTTCGTTAGGATCGTGCTCGAGGTCGGTTCCACCGCCTTCGTCCTCTGCACCGGTTCCTTCGCCACCGTCATCACCCTGTTCCCCGCTCACTTCGTCTCTACTCGCCGAGGCACTGTGCTGTTTGTTCTTCTCCCCCTGAGAAATCCACGAATTCGTCTGTTACTCGCCATCTATTTGTCACTAGTTGGATAGGCGAGTGAATCTTTGAGCAAAGATTAGGATTCGTTTTGAAAAATCGTAGGATACCGTGGCGGCGCGACGAACGTCCAAGGCCGGCGGAAAAATATGCCGATCGAGAACGGTTAATTAATACGGCAGGAAAATCTAGCGTTCGTTTCGCGCGAGATAGTTTGTCTATTAATAAGCAAAGAGAGACGTTGACTCGACGTCCTATTTAAAGTAGAAGAAACTCGAGCCGTGGATCTCGTCGAATTTCACGAAGCATCGAAGCGGAATCAACCCTCGCCCTCGGGTTAATACTCGAGAGCGATCGATTTTTCATTAGCTTATCGAAAAATCACGAACGATTAAACCTTCTAACGCGAAGCTGTACACGGTAGACGCGATGATACTTCGCCGTGAGGGTTCGTTTGTTCGATAACGAAGACGACACCGATAGCTCTCTTTCCTCCACCTTTGCCACCGCTTTTCACGCTCGAGTTACTTCGCGTATTTACTTCGAAACCGTTATAGAATTTCGTTATATACGAAACGTGGTCAAAAAGGCGGACGAACGAATAGAAAACGATAGCGAACAATAATGGAGCGAATGTTTCTGGATAACGGTTTTAATTTCGGAGTATCGGTATTCGATCGGGATGACCCCGATTTCGCGTGCGTCCTTTGTACGCGGTACGTAGTTCGCAGCAACAGTTGGAGCAAACGAGGCGTTCGGTTTAAAGGAGATGGCATAGTTGTGGGCGATTTAGCGTCGTATTAAAAATCATTTGCACAGCGACGTTCAACCTGCTCATAAAAATACATCGCGATAGATCTAGTTCCCTCCAAGGTCGCACGGAAATGTCTTATCCGTTAAATCTTTCAGCTCGTAAAACGGTTGACCGAAGATTCGTATCTGCTTGGTAAAAATACCAGCAAATAAATATACGCGAAAATGTACGTTTCGTTAGTCGTGTGCCAATGCGGTACCCGGCGTCAGGTAGAAAAAGTGTTCTATAGAAAATGAATATTAAATAAATAATTGCGTTTCGTACGTTGATGTTTCTCGCGTTACGCTATGAAAAGATTCGAATCTCGGACCAAGTGCAACAATTAAATCTGCTTTCACGTTGCCGCGAAATATCTTTGGAAACCATTCATCGGCATTCGGATTTATGCTGCGCGTTAATTGCAAACATCAAGCAGGTCAGCAGCAGGTTGAATATCAACAACTATGGTTTTATGGCGCGTAATTAAAAATTTGTTACGACCAGAAAACAGCGATATTTCTATCGGGAATTCGTGGCCGCCCTAGATACGCGGTCGGATGGATTACGGCGCGTCGAATATTCGCAAGGTACGCGCTTTAAGACGCGTAACGGGCAATAAAAAGTCGGTCGAACGGCGTCGAAGCCGGCGTCAACGCTGGCGTCGCGACGCCTTCTGTCGAGGCAGTCGTGATTACCAGCGCGTCGGCAAACGAGCCTTCCCACTCGATGCTCTTTGAGAACGATAAAACGGCTGGCATTCTAATTTTCTTCGCCCTTGCAACTATGTAAACGCGACGACCAAACGTTTATTCGCGCGACACCGTGACGCTCGCTTTTTCCAAATGCGTCGAACGTTTCAACGTACTTACCAGTGCTCGTTTAATCCTTGGCATACCGTGGAAGATGATCGACGTTCTTTTACCAAAAAAAAAAAAATGAAGAAAAAGAGATTTTTAAAAGATTCCGCGAATCTTTCGTCCTTGTCACGTAGTTTTTAGTTATTTTGCAAAAATGACCGCGATTAGTCTTTTTACGTGTCCGTTTCTACGAGTCGGAACCAACGACGTGACGCGTAGAAAAGACGTTTGACACAGCTTTGGAGAAAGATATTAGGTTGTCGGAAAAGTTTCTTTCGTTTCCATAATAGATGAACAACAATTTCTGTTTTATATTGTTTTATTGAATTAGGTATGATCCATTTCGTTATATTTGTAGCCGCGGCAAAGTTTCTGATCGGGCAGTGTCACCCGTATTCGGGTGACGCTTATTCGACTACTTGCGAAGGATCGTCGTAAGTGTTTGAAAAGATATTGCACAGAAAGTTATAAAAGAAATACGGAGATGGTTTATTAAGAAAATTATTTAGAACGTAAAACTTTGAAGCATTCTATACAAAGCTGAGGTTGGTCGGGACAATTTGGACAATAAGTTGTTTTCTTTAAATTCTCTCGTGTGTTTGGTCGGTCCGTTCGACGTCTTTATCCGCATAACATAGTTTGCATGCGCGTCTAATGCTTCTTCCGGAATCATTTTTCCGAACGATGATATTATACCGACTCCGTCGAAGACAAGGATTTTCTGTATTTTCAGACAACCCTAATAATTTTGCAGCTAATAATTCTCTAAATCTTCAAATAGTTACATCCTTCCTTGTTGCAATTTTGTAAACCGTCAAAGCGTTTACAACAGAGAACAGAAATTCCCAGAAGGAGTTGAATGCCAAGTTTTCGATACTATTTGATTCCTTTTCTAATTGTGGCGATGTAGCTGCACATGAGCTAGAGGACAATTCGAATCATGTTGTTGTTTTGCCTCGGAGTATCAACACCGTTCGGACATGCGTAACGTAATAATAAATAAACTCTGTCAAACAAAGAGGAACTTAAACTTTCCGCTACTCCCTTGACCAGTAAATAAATAAACGCGATCCTAAGGTGAACAGTTTTTCAGTCTCGGTCTCGAGCGATTTTAATAGCGATCAATAACAGTTTTTAGCGAATCAGTTAGTACCGAGCTTCTCAGCGAACATTCTCCGTATTTATTCATTATTTTTAAACACATTCGACGGTTTTAACATCGAGTCATCTCGTCGTTTAAACCGACCAACCATCCTCTACATATTTCCATCATTACGTTCGCGCATAGTTCAATAAAATAATATAAAACAAAAGACATTGTGCGTCTATTTTATTATTATTATAACTTTTCGGACAACCTAATAGATAATTGAGAGACCAATTGATATTTTACGAACGTGATAGGATAAAACGGAACGTCGAATAGACGATCGTTCGATTCACTGGATATCGCAAAAGATACTGTTACGTTCGTACGCTAGATACGGGCGTCCTGTGCATTTTTGCACCGCGAGATTTGCCGCAAATGCGTCAAACTACCTACGAGTTTCGCGATATACCGTTTCGATTCGTATGAAAAGAGTCTACGCGATTGCATCGATGGCGGATGACGAGCCAGTCGTTTGAATTTAGACGAAACGATCTCCATGGAAATTTATGAGAGCGCGAGCGTATTTTAAAATTGAGAAAAGCTCACCCCCTCTTCGGCTTCTTTCTCGATGGCAGTTAACGATTCGGCATCGGCGAGGTTGTCGACAGCGATGGCCAAGAAGACGTTCAGTAGGATATCTGCAATTGTCTTGGTCAAGGAACGTTAAACGAGGATAAAAATGTGTTTGTCGCGCGTAATATGTACCCTATGGTCCGTAAATATTGTCGGATGGCGTATCGAATGGAGGATGGAAAATTACGTAATTGGACGAGGCTCGTCGCTGTTTGCGTATTTTCACGGTAAAAAGGATACAGTTACCGCATATAAAGAGAATGATGAAATAGAAACAGGCGAGCATGCCAAAGCTTGAAACACCGCCATAGGCTCTAATTCCATCGTACATAACGGCGTTCCAATCTTCGCCGGTTAATATCTATAAATTGTACGACGACGTTCGATAGTCGGATATAATCGATTTAAGCTTCGACGACGCGTTCAAAGCGTTAAAAAACGTGCAAGCTTACCTGAAAGACGGTTAACAAACTTTGCCAAAAGCTGTCGAAATTGTGACGGGGCTTGTTCTGTAAATCGCTAAAATTGAATTTTCCACCAAACACCTGTGAAAAAAATGGAGAATGTTAGAGCCACGTTATCCATCGACGATGGACGCGGAGAGACGAGAAAGAGCGACGAATCGTACCTGCATGCCCAGCAGGGCGAAGATCACGATAAAAAGGAAGAGCAGAAGCAACAAAGACGCGATCGATTGTATGGAGTTTAAAAGGGAAGCCACCAAATTCGACAACGACCTCCAATATCTGTAAAATTGCATCGCGTACGTTTAAGGTAAATGCGTGTAAAAATACGCAGCGTGTTCCTTGTAGCGGGTGGCCGACAGACCTCTCCGTGTAAACTTACTTTGTCACTTTAAATACCCTGAGCAACCGGACGCAACGGAGAACGGAAACGCCGAGCGGTGGCATCACGTGAGTATTCGTGAGGATCATCTCGGTGATGGAGCCGATCACGACGAAACAATCGAACCGATTGAAGAGCGAGACGAAGTAACCCTGTTCGGATAACAAACGTTTTTATCGAGAGAAATTTTCCTTGAGAAACATCGTTTGCCGTGAAACTTACTTGAAATCCTAAGCTATACATCTTCAGCATCATCTCCATGGAAAACAACGCGATGAAAAACATGTTTGTGATCTCTGCGTAACCGAGAAGCAACGGTATTTTAAATGGAAAAGTAAGATGCAACGCGAGGCATAATGAATCTGCATATTGGAATGTTGGAATATTAAATAGCAGCGAGAGGATCGCGTACCTTGAAAGTCATCCAACCAATGAGGTTGATTGTAGTGTTCGGTGGCCAGAACGCCGGTATTCAAGAAAACCAATACTATGATCAACCAGTAGAAAACCTGCGACTTGACTGCTTTTCTGCACGCCCTCCTCATTCTTCTGTTTACCCTGTGAATTTCCATTGCAAATTCGTGCGATCAAAGGCAAGCTAAGTAGCGAGGCTCGCTTTTCCACCTTCCGCTTTCCCCTTTATTATAACTCGCTTCGACGAAATAAAACAAGAAATCGCGTCTCCACCCTCCTACCTGTCGAAATCCAGCTTTTTCCTTCTCCACAACGATTCCTGTTGAACCCCTTCCTCGTCGCCCTCTAACTGATCCGTGCTTTCCATCTCGTTCTGTTGTTTCGCTGCGAAAGTCGTTTTATTCTTATTATCCGTTTGCTTCGTACACGAGACAAACATCCCTATACCGTGCAAAGCATCAGCGGAAAGTAAAGAAAGAAAGACGGGTAGATTTTGCAGAAGTTTGCGAGTGGAAATTCGTGGAACCAACAAGGTGTTTAAATAACATCGTCGTTCCTAAGTAACGGAATATATCGATAGATTTGTCGCTAAAAGCTAACGATCAGTCTGCATTACGAAATTAACCGTCGATCGACAATTAGACGAACAATGTAGAATTTTAACGATTTTGGCGCGGTTAAAGTTTTGCAAAGTCGTTCGCGATCTACGTTGTCCTCTGTCTCGTTAAACGTAAATCGAAATCTCTTGTATCTTTAGGGACACGTTATCGAAGGTATCGAGGGAACAGAATCGAAACTGAGATTCGTTTGGCTTCTTAAAATTCGTAATCCTCGAGTTTTGCATAGATGCGTTTAATAAACCGCTCGTAGGTAACTCACTTTTGCCGTCCTGCATCTTCGGCTCGTCGGTTTCCGGCTCGATATCCTCGGCCTGGGTGATCCAGTCCAGATAGCCCCTCAGGTCGTCCTCGATCTGCTGCTTCTCTCTGAGTTTGTGGAAGTCGCCTCTCGCTTTTGCTTTCTCTCTCTCCTTGGAGAATTCGCTGCACCGGGCAAAGGTACGTTGGTCGCAACGCGATATCAGAGACGCCGACGAGAAGTGTAATTGAAACGCGCGCGAATGAAACGGAAATCGAGAGTTGCGTGCGAGTTCCGCGTAAATAACAAAAGGAACGAGAGCAACAGCGAGTTGCTGGTACAAAGCGAGGGGACTTGACTCGCAGTCCCTTGTCCCGTGATGCGACACAAGCTGACAATCTTCCAGATTATCCGCTCTATTTTTCTCCCCGGGGCATTCGAGCCGTTTTATCGTTTAAAGCGGAACGACGACGAATTCGCTGTGCACTTTGATAAGACGCGCTTTTACGGCTCGGTCGTCTAAGCCACCGCTACGTAACGTAGACAACAAAAGGGATGTTTATATTTAAATCTTTCTTAGGAGACTGCGACACTCGAGGATCGATATATCAACCATACATATAATACATATGTCGGAGATGAAAAGATATCGGGGCTTTTCTTTTGGAATTTTTGGGAACACCCGTAATACTCTAGTCTAGACTCTTCATTATAGCTGTGCTCAAATAATAAAACTTAGAAGTAGTTGTTTATGATTTAATCGGATTATGTGTGCTCGAGAACTATGACAATAGGCTTGGGCTCGATGTGACACAACGGGTCGCTGAACGTAGCCACGGTCACGGGATGGACGTTTTTACCTAAAAGAGGTATCAAATAGTTGTACAGCTCTCCTTAAAAGTACAGTTGACCCGAGGGATACAGAGAGGTACGGAGAAGAGTACATAAGCGCAGTTTGACTTGGACTGGAGAAGTTAGTTGAGTTCTACTTGTACTGTGGGCAAATTAGTTGAGTTCCACTTGTGGACGAGTAAGTTGAGTTACACTTGAATTGTGCGCCAGTGAGTTCAGTTCGACTTGCACTTTGGAAGAAAGCACATTTGCTACCCCGTTGACCGTGGATTCGTTATTGAGCCTAAGATCATTGCCATTTGCGTCTCGAGTATCTAATTACCACGGTTACTTGTCAAATTCTGTGATGATCATATTTGTACTAGTCAACATCTTCTCTATTGCATAACAACAATGTCTAATCCAAATGAAGATTCGTTACACGCCTCTAACCCTAATGAGAACTCGACACATATATATCAACTATATATACAGGGTGGTTGGTAACTGGTGGTACAAGCGGAAAGGGGGCGATTCTACGCCAAAAAAGAAGTCGAAAATGTAGAATACAAATTTTTCATTCGAGGCTTTGTTTTCGAGAAAATCGACTTTGAATTTTCGCTCGGTACGCGCGCGGTACGTTATAACGCGATAAAGTGCACGCGTACCGAGTGAAAATTCAAAGTCGATTTTCTCGAAAACAAAACCTTGAACGAAAAATTTTTACTCTATATTTTCGACTTCTTTTTTCGCGTAGAATCGTCCCCTTTCCGCTTGTACCACCAGTTACCAGCTACCCTGTATATGTATGTATGTATATATGTATAAGAATAAACTCGGTTTTACGAACTTCACGTGTGGCGAGGCCGAGTAACAGTTTCAGAAAATATCGTAAAACCGAGTGGGGTTTCGAGCCGTAACGTGGAAATTAGATAAAACGAAGATACGTTAACCGTGGATAATTGAAAGGAGAGACAGACACGGCCGGAAATGAAACAATTCCGTTGGTTATTTCGGTAGCGTAAAAGTCGAAAAAGACGTAACCCGAGGCAGCTGTAGCGTACGTACGCGCATTGTACGCGTACGAATACGTTGTATTACGAACCCGAGGAGAAGTAATTTTAGTAGCGAACAATGAATCCGTTATGCGACCAGCCCCTAACGATTGATGTACGTGTATTTATACGACTATTTGTCGCGTAGTTTTAAGAGGTAGAAACACGCTTTATAAAAATAAACCGACCGTATCGTATGGCCGTGTTACGTTCGCGTAATTCGAAAGAAGATGGAAATGCGAACAAAATTAGAAAAGAAACGGGACTCTGTCGTAGAAATTGCGTTTCGCGTCTTAAAATATACCTGGCGATCAAAATGAAATCGTAATCTTATCGTAATTAACGTCGCGTTGCCGATCAACCGTTTCGCCAGTCGCTTTAAACCCGTTTCTTTCTATCTACTTGAAGAGAAACCTTGTTTACTTCTCGTTCTTATCTTCCCTCGCGTTACAATGACTTCTCCGACCAATTGACTCGGCCAACTCAATTTTCCTGGTCGCTTAATACTCACCCGGACAGTACACCGAGAATTAGATTCATCACGAAGAAAGCTCCCAGTATGACCATGGAGATGAAATAGATCCATTGCCACGAGCTTCCCATCGCGTCTTCGATCTAAGCCAGCAAACAGACAGAAAGAAAGTATGAGATCGAAGATCGTCCGCGAATCGTATCCACGTTCCACGAAATCGATCTTACGTTGTAGAGCACGTCGGTCCAGCCCTCGAGCGTAACGCATTGGAAGACCGTCAACATGGCCAAGCCGAAGTTGTCGAAATTCGTAATACCCCAATTCGGACCTTCCCAGAATCGCCTGCTACAGTAGTACTCGGGTCCCACGTTATAGCACTGGAAACCGCCGGACCCACACGGAATTGGGTTGTCCATGATCGCGTCTGTGAATCCATTTCAAGAGGATATTTTCTTTCTCTACTTTTGCTCCGCTGCCTTGCCATCTTCCACACCGTATACAACTGAATCGCGATTATACAAATGGAATCCAAGTAGAAAGCTGATTTGACAGTCGAATACTTTAACAGCTGCTATTTTTTCTACGGTTTATATGGTTTAATTATCGTTATACATATTACGTTGTGTATTCTGTACTTTTTATACACCGTCGCAAATTTCCCATAAACGAACGAAGATCCGCGAGTTGGGTCAGTTTAGACCCGCGGTGAAGCTAGTCGCGACGCTAGAGCGAGACGTTCGAACCGAAAACCTGAGACGACGCTAGCGAACCAGGTCGTGCGACAGCTTTCAGACTTTGAAGAGTATCATTCTTTAGTCGAAAATATGGTCGACGAAAGACGATGATCGATACAGAGCGATGGTCTCGTAATTTCTCACGTTTTGGCGTCCTACGCTATCGTCACCGATTCTTGCAACTCGGATCACCCAGCGAAATTGACTCGTACTGCTATGTTACAACGCTTGCAAAAAGTATTTCGATCGTTCTACTTGTAGCATTTGTACGCTGATTCGTTAAATGTCCGAGGCTTTTTAATTCCTTTTAAAGTTTATTGCTTTACAAAGCGCAGTCTTTCGATCTTTTCGCTAAGCCAGACAAAGTACAAAACGTAGACTTTGGCGGGTGAATTATCGCGCGGAACCAACAGGTGTGCTGATATTTACGAAGCGTGCTCGATGAAACTTTGAAACGCTATTTTCTCAAAAAACGAGAAGCGTCTTGGTTTTGCGTGGAGCCCGTGGTAGCATCGGCCCGACTACGATCGTATCAGGAATCTGCGCGCCTGATCTGTCAGGCAAGTACAGGAATTCGCAGATTCTCGTGAATCAGCTGTTTACCGTGAGATACGCGCGGGCCACGCAGATCGCGTACCACGCGCTAAGAATAATTAGACGTTAGTTGCGCCGCGGCTGAATCATATCTAAAATAGCGCCGGTGCAAACTGTGTTTCGGGGTTAGGACGGGAACTCCCGCACCAACTTTGCCAGCTTCACCGCGATATTTCACGTTTCGAGAAATTCTGTCCGGTCCGAGTCCCTGTCCACTGATCATCGTCCTTTGCCTTGCACGTAATTTCGGTCTCTTCGAGAAACATTCTCCCGTCGAATCTCGAGAAAATAACACGCCGTTGCGTGGTCGTCGATGCCGATCTGTCGCGTATTTGTACGATACTTCGCGAAGTTTCGTCTTTCGAGAAATTCTTTCCGGTCTAATTCTATCGGTGGATCGTCTTACTTTTCCACGTTATTTCCATTCCTTCGGAAAGATTTTCTCGAACAAGATCGAAGAAAGTCACCGAGTGCAGATTTTGCTGCGGTACATCGCGTACGCTGTCGTTGATGCAACGAATACCCACCTTCGCGTTACGTGCGTGTCCCAAGCGCGTCGTAAGCGAACGATACTCACCGGTGACATTGTGCCTGCAGGTTTTATGCATTTTGCCGGAGAACAGCTCGAGGCCGATGATAGCGTAAATAATGATGACGAATAGAACCAGCAGAGCGATATGGAGAAGGGGTATCATCGCTCTCAAAATAGAGTTTAGGACTACTTGCAGACCTGCACAGATCGACAGAGACATTCGTCACGTCCCGTTTCTTTCGCTGGGCTCGATCAACTGGTATCGAGAAACAGTCGGAGTAAAGACGCTTGTTTGACATGAAAATCTTACTTGGTACGCCGGAAACCAGCCTGAGAGGTCGTAGCACCCGAAAAGCCCTCAACGCTTTCACATCGAAGCCTTCTTTCATAAGTATCGACAATACCGTGCTCACCATTCTGCAAGGAGACGATGTTACGACATCAAACGTCAAAAATCATCTCGTCGTGGAATACGTTGCTGTATATCGAAACGTGCTCCGTCAGAGACAGAGACGGGCCACCGAGTAATTTCAAATCAAATTTCAGACGAAATTATTTTCTTGTATTTGCGACACAAAAAGACGCGCGACAGAAAGAAAAATAGAATCGACCGTGACGCGTGTGCACATTCAGCTGCGAAGAAACCTACCAACGTCGGTTTACGGCCACGAAATCGAGCGGGCACGAAGCGCATCTTTCTATCGTCTATCGTCGAAAGCGAGAGAATTATTTAGATTGCCATAGTTTTAAATCGTCTATTTTTATCCAAACGAAACATTCACCGTCTCTGGACGAGTAATTCCGTACGTTTCGCCGAATTCCCTCGACGAGAAACTTCCATTTCTCTGCTTTGAATTTCGTCTCGTTTCTCCTCGATTATTCCATCCATGGGTGCTCGTCGCTGCAAGATTTCGCGGACGGTCGATCGACGATAGACGATGCGAAGTGGAACGATGCTTGGGAGAGACGACGACTCCAGTCGAAATTAAAACTATCTTAATTCGCAAAGCGCAGCTCACTCGGTGAAGCGGAGAAGGAATCTCTCTCGTTTCGCCAAGTAAGCAGAACTTATTGAATCAAAGTGGAATGCGCGACAGAGAACAAAGGAAGTCGCGTGCCGATTCAATGTCATCGTGCCCAAGAGACGACGCGAACTCGCGACACGCTTTTGTACGACGATGGAGGATGCAGGGGTAGGGCATTCTCGAGAAATAGAATAGGACGGAACAGCGCGATGAAAGTGTAGTCATGGGATTGGCAGGTTGATCGGGAAATCTGCGCGCAGTAAAATTTCCGTTATTGGCTCTAGCGATTCCCATAATCGTCGATTTACGAGCTACGCGTGTTCTCCCTTCGGACAGATAAACTCGCGCAACATAGCAATCGACTCTGCGTAAATCTGTTTTTCTTGCGGAGGAGATCGTCGTCCACAGCGGACGATTTTCGATGAATCGATGGGATGGGAAAGTCGCGCGACGCACGAAACCGCGTATTTCGTGTTTAACGTATTACAGGTACTGACGCGACTGTTTGTTACGCGATGAAAAATGATAATCAAAATGGAAATGTACACTACCGTACGATTAACACTAGAACTACCAGTCGAATCGACTGGTTTTACAATTTTATTTTGAAATTCCTACTTCGTGTTATATATTATTTTTCCGCAATGATGTAACGACTTTCGCAACGATAACTAAAAGAATAATATGATGAATTTTATTTTGTCTTTTATGTGTTCAAACTGAAAATAATTTCGTATCAAGGCTACTTATACCAATACCAGTGAAAATGACTGGTACTTGTCAAAGTGTAAAAGGGTCCTGCAATCTGTTCATCGAACCTCAATTAACCAGTTTCCTCGTTTTATACAACTTGCCACATGCTTTTCAAATTTTTACCGCGTATCATTCGATATGACGATATCAGTTATCAGGAAAATTCCAGATCGATCGCTAGATCGCTGGATGCTAACACTGGAAATACCACATCAATAAATGACTGGTTCTACAATCTTATAAACGTGTCAACCCTCGTTTAGAGATGATTGTCCTAGATGGATTAATAATACCAAAAATGTACTACATAACATGGAATTCCCTCTGTAAAAAAGTAATAAATCAATAAATATAAAAATATTCTATTATTAGGTATTTTTTAAAGACCAGTCATTTTCACTGGTTTTGGTAGAAATAGCTTCGCGTTAACCATCGGTGGTTCTAGCGTTAACAGCGTTCGAATTTCATCGACGAGTATGGTGACAAATTAATAACTGGAAACAGTGGTAACGATCGGTAGGGTTTTACGACCGTATATCACTGTGTGCAGCTGTGGTCGGAAAATGAAACGCAATTGTACTCACCCTATCACTACTATCGAGAAGTCTAATATGTTCCAGCCGTTTCGAAGATAAGCGCCGGGATGAGCCACGAAGCCGTAAGCGATGATCTTCATGACGCACTCGAGCGTAAAAATCACAAGAAATATATACTCTATTTTTTCCTGAAACATAGCGAAAGAAAGTGCGACATGAGTCGTCGACGGAGCGTCCGAGCTTCCTCGAGCGACATCGTCGATCGAGAACAAATCGCAGAGGAAGCGCTCGTCCATTCGAAGGTAAAGTTCACGCGTTCGAAAGTCAAACGCGTCGTACGTTGTTTCTTGTCGCGTTTAACAGCAACACGCAGGATAAGCCGATGAGAAGTATGCGCTATCCAACGTATTTTCCAAGCATCGAGATTCTCTCGAAAAGCAACGCGATTCGTTTAAAACGTTTTTCGATGAAATCGAAATAGACGACGAGTTGCTTTATACAGCACGTACCTCTCGTTGACTCATCCTGCCTACGTACAAGAATGAAAGGTTTCTGGCTGGTTTTATCGTCGCGAGAGAACACAGTCTATCGCTGTTATCTAAAACCGCCAATACTTTTGCATTCGATTAATACGTATAGGCAAGGTGCAATGTTGGAAGCAATTTCTCAACTTTCGAAAACTCGTTCAGACCAGCTACCCGCTTTAATCTGTAAACTCGTCGCTATTTTGGCTAACAGGTTCTCGTGACAAGAAATCACGCGTGACACTGAAAATTCATTTAGCAAAGAGTGGAAAACCTTTGATCGTTTCGACGCGTCGATCGATAACCGATCAAGTTTGTTCGACGTTTGCCAGAATGTAACTAAAATGTAAACGCTTATACCGCGTGTACATTGTCGATCGAAACTGTCTACAACAACTTGCGCTACGCTCTTCTTGGCACACATCGGCACGGAGAGGATTCCGTGACGTAAACGTTCCAACCGGAAGGAAAATGGTCGGTGACGAGCTACGACGACGAGCGTCGCGTTCCACGTTCGCCATGAACCCCGGCAAAGGTCAGATCGGAAAGAAAATTTACGACACGCGATTATCATGCCCCGTGCATCGAAACGGCGCTCTTCAAACTCCGATTACTCGATCTCTATCGAAATTGAAATTGTTAGAACTTAAATATCGATAAGGATACGTAACTTTGGAAGAAAACGCTTTTATCGTATTCTTTCGCCAACGATGTATCATCCGTCGTTTCTTGCGCGCAATTCGTAAAATAAATCGAAGAATTTTTAAGATTCCGACGCAAAATACTCGTTTATCGCCTGAAGTTTCTCGTTGGCTAAAGCTCGTTACGTTTAACGGTATTTTATTGAGGTGGAAGCAAAGGAAAATTTGTAATTGAAAATGCTATGAAGGACGACGAATTAATAATCGAAAGAACGTAGAAATTTGTTCGACGTAGAAATCGAGCGAATCGCGAGCAGTTTTTTCTTATTTTTGTGCACCGAGTGCAGCCTTGAAACGGAACTCGCGCGTCAATGTACGCTCTTTACGTAGCCAAATGCTTTTTGCCAAAGTTTCCGGTCTGACGCGGCGCACAAGCGTTTACCCTACCGGCAGCGGTAAACCCGTGGAAAAAGGCCAACCTTTGATAGAAGGTTTTATACTTCGTCTCGAAGGTTAGGTCTTAGCGTATTATCTAGGAAAACCTTTTATCCATTTTCCGGAACACGGGTTCGCTAGTTTCGATTCTATGCAAGCTCAAATTCACCTCGACCCTCGTACGTAGCTCTTTCCAACTATCCTCGATCGCTTTTCTTTCATCGGCAAATATTTACCGTGACCGCTCCTTATTTTCTTTTTCTCGTCTTCCTTTATCGCGCTCGTCTTAAATAGCACGCGCAACGTTCCATTTAAAAAACACAGCCCTGCCAATAACCACGAAACTATTCGCGATTCTGAAATTCTAGAATTCAAATCGGCGATTCGTTAAACAGCGAAATTTATCGGCTCGGCCTCCGAGTGACTCACAAAACCGTCGTCTTTCCGTTCGACCCGTATACACTGGCCTATATATGAATCATATTTTCCAATAATAGCGAGGAACGATGGGTGCCGATGTTAGCAAGATTGAGCAATTATCGAAGTTTCACCTCGAATAAGTTCCATGCCATCAACCCTATCTCTTGGACGTAGCGTTTATTTATCGATAACCCAGCCGGATCGCGTGGTTCGACGAACGGAGCTTGTTATTCCTATTATCTTCTCTATTATTAGCTTAATCGAAATTCCTTGGTCGGAATTCGTCGTTCGAACGATATTTCTGTTGAACTTCGATCCGGGGGTCTGGCATCGATCAATTCGTTCTCCGTAAAATGTACGAGAATAAGAGACAGGGAAGAGGTCCTGCGAGTTGTTTATCCGAGGCGTTCGACTTCTCGATCGTTAAAGCGCTTGGCACGTGGCGTAAAATTTTTACCAAAGAAGCACAAAAATAGCCGTGCGAGGCCTTGCGAGTGTGCAGATCGTATTAAGGGGGCACGAAAAGGAGGAGGGGGAGGGAAAAGGATTCTCGAAGCGGAGTAAAAAGCGCTAAGAACAAAAGTAGGTACTTACCAAATACTGGTTGGTCAAATTAGAATCGCCAAATGGGTACGGTGTGTAGACTGCCAGGGCGATGCAATTCGCGAATATCGTCATGAGAATAAGCCACTCGAAAGGTCTGAAAAGTTGCGTCGAGGGATCCGGCTAAGGAAAATGAAAAGAATCTCGGTAACGCGGTCGATGGTTCGCCATGCTGGCTCGCTATGCCGCAACTCTCGTTTTACTATTTTCCGGTCTTCACCGGGTAGCTGCAGCGCCGATACTTTTTTTTTTTTTTCTCTCCAACATCTTGATAGCTTCTAACCGGAAACGAAGTACGAAAAGCTGTAAAATTTCTCGTCGCGTTCCCACGGTTATACTATCGTTACGAAGAATATCGTAGCGTTTCTCGCGTAAAACTTTCCCTCGTTCGTTTCCTTCGTCTAATCAGTAGCATCGACGAGAGCGAGAAAACGAACATTGGCCTGAATTGATAGAGGCAAACTTCTTTTCACTGCACGTTGTATCGAGCGTACAGACAACACGGCGTATGTATACGTTTTACGTAACAATGGAAAAGCGGGGGTAGGTAGGCTCTGAACAATATACTCTAGAATGGGTTTGTCAACAAGGGTTGACGTTCCCCGGCAAGTTCCCCGGCATACGTTTCCACCCGCCTCCATTGGCCTATTTCGCTCTCGAACAAACACGGTACGTTTCCCGCGACAGGTTAGACGTTACGAGAGGAAAACGAGTGGAAACGAATAAGCAGAGACGAAACTTTGAAAGATAAGGCTGTGTGCAGTTACAGCGGTGCGTGCTGCGACCAACTGTCGCGTCACTCTGACATGCGGTGAGATACTTTTGCGAGTATCTCGAAAACTAACTAAATTCTCGGAACTTGCAGAAGGAATTGCTTCGAACGTTAACCTTGACAACGCGTATATCAAGGCCGATCTATATATGCGAGGGGAACCTATACAAAATTACCCCTGTTACTTCATTTTCGTTACGAAGACATTTAACAGATACAATTTTGATTATACAATTCGTTTCGTAAATCGATTTTTATGCTCCAATTTCTCCCTCGCGTTTTTGCTAATTTATCGTTTATTTATTCGGACAGAATTATTCGGACGGAAAGAGAAGAAATAAAAAAGAAAAGAAATGAAAAGAAGCGAAAAATACGTACGTAGAAAAGGCGCAAGGATATAAAAGACAAGTTTCGATGTAACGCTGTCGTAAAACACGGTCAGGAGAGTATCTCAAAGACGTTGCAGACCGGCCGAAGATTTCCATGCTCGCGCCACAAGATTCTTAACGCGGAATCGAAACGAGAAACCGTACGCATCGACGAGATCTCTCTCGTATTTTTCCCGAGACCAAGATACATCCTAATATCGGAAAAACCTGACTGAACCAAAAATAACTGGAAGAACGTGGCAGGATGAAGCCAGGTCGTGCTCCTGTAACGATAGGAAAAAAGTAAAAGTTTCGTAAAAAGGATACTTCCATTCGATAACGTCGATGCACATTTTGCGCACGGGATTTTTCAGGGGTAAACAAAAGAGAGCCCTGAGTGGTCTGTCGGGTACCGCTTTGCCACCCCTTCGAGCCGGCCTTTTGGTGGCAGATTTGGCGGCACCGGTGCTGGTCCCGTGTGTCTGGCCCGTTTGAGACTGCGCGGTAGCTGGCTGTCCGTCCTGGGCAGTTTGGGAGTTCCGGTGC